TCCCAGGCGTCGCGCCGCATCATATCAAAACAAGTCAACCGCCGCAACAAGGGAGGGGGAGGGAGTGCTTCCCTAATAAGTTGCGCCCTTCACCCTAATAGAATCCTATTAGCTATTCATCTCGGAAATTAAGCTTTATTGACTTGCTGATCGCTTTTAAACAACTTTGACAATTATTTCGCTCTCTTCCGGTTTAAATACGCTTTGGTTGTTTCCCTGATTTCCAGTCGCCCCGCAGCCGTCTGCGGCCGTCAGGGGCGCATTTGCATCGCCTTGTCAAGGCGATGAATCGGACGCCACTCATCTCACCATCACGCGAGGGTGGCTCACACTCTCGAAATAATGTCACATTTCATAGATTCTCGAGCCACACTCAGGCTCTTTTAAACAGTTCCTTTCTTTAGGAACCTCATCTATTAGATTATGAAAACTAGGAAAGAAAAAAGAAATCATAAGAATCATAAAATTGACAATTTTTGCGAACTTCGGGTAAAATTCAGCTATTTAATTTTAGAAATGACTCCTTGAAAGAAATTACGATAACCAGCCATTGCAAAATAGAGAAAATCCGGATGAACAATTCTGCGCTTTTGATTGACCCTATGGTGAATCTTCAGCTGTTGTTCCGAAAAAATTCACCACATCGTGCTGCTAAAATCTGGCTCACGCACAAAGGAGGATGCACATTTGGTTTATAATTGTTATTGCGAAAGATTCGAGGAGATCCGGTCAAGCTCATAAGCGCAAATCCCCGAAGTTAAGAGCTTAAAAGCGCAAACCGTATAATTTGCGCTTTTGGGCTGTTGTTTCGATTACACATTAATCGATCCATCGTTTAATTGATTCAGAGAGGGGTTATGCTCGAAGTTTGGCAACAACGTCTGATCTTCTAGACTATGAGGTAGCGGCGCACCAGTGTTCCCCGAAAGCCGCATACGTGCTGTCGTTTTCAGATAGGACAATATTAGTACAGGAAAATCTGCTAGTTAGGTTTGTGAACGAGTTTATGAACAGCCTGGTGTAATCAGTGATTGGTTGAAATTATTTTTTGGCCTCCCTTATTTTGACCCCGCCGCCATAATCGATGCTGTTTGTCCAATATTTAGTAAAACCCCTCTTGAACTTAGATGCGTCCATTTCTGGAATTATGTTCAAGATAACTTTATTATTCTGTGTTTCTTCCCGCCTGAAATGTAGGCAGCGTCTCCAAGTGAACTTTCCTCGCGCACGACCAATGGTCCCGAATCATTCTACCACCATTTAAGAGGAAATTTTTTTGGACCGCACCTCCATATTTATTAATTTTTTTTAAAAAAAGTGTAAAAAAACAAAAATCCCAAAAACGGGATGGAAGCAGGACATATAAAGTACCTTGATTTTGCTGAGTCTACAGACTCTGGCAGAATCGCCTATTTATTTTCCAGACTAAAAGAGGTAAAGCAACTCCGTTTTTTTTTTTTCATTCCTCTTTTAATCACAGTGTTGGACTCTGACTCCGTGTCTATATGTCGCAAATTAATCTCAATTTCTTCCGTTTGCGCTTTTGGGCTATACAATTTTGCGCTTTTGGGTTCTCGATCTCGAACATTTGCGCTTAAGGGCGGGTTTAGGAGGTCATCATCATATAAAAGGAAAAGGGGTGTTTGCAAAATCTGCAAAATTTCCCCCCCTCTTGGATTTTGACCAATTCCGCGTACTAATCGTTTGGGAGGTATAATACATCAACATGTACGGAAAAGCACGACAAATATAATGTACACCTTTTTGTTTGAATTGAGAATCCGGCATTTGACGATGTAGGTACCGGGGTTGAAAAAAAATCATTAGAATACATCATTAGAAAGAACCTAAAAAATTAAAAATTTTGGCGCAAACCGCAAATCAATATCTTAAATCCTCAGGGGGGGGGGACAAAAATTTTGACCTCCCTAGAAGATGGACCCCTTTCAGATAGAAACATTCCCGAAGTTTCGTTTTTCTATCTCGAACCGTTCAAAAGTTACGAGGGGGGGGGGGTACGGACTTTTAGGACACCCTGTATAAAATTCAATGGTTTTCAACTTGGCAACGCTGCTGCGTGGCAAGAAATTCATTTCACACCTTGAAATTTTTGGGAATGGCGTACCTCATAGTAAGGAATAACATATTAAAAATCCACGAGGGGAGAAATTTTGCAGATTTTGCACACCTTTTCGCAAAGTCCGAGTAAAATTTGGTGGTGCGAAGCTCTGAGAATGGATTCTCATGAAAGGGATCACAATACTTTACCACTACAAAAAGTACGAAACATGGAGAAATAAGTACTGGTTAAGTTTCCGGATAATGCAGAACAAATGACTTAACCGACCTAACTTAATTACTGAAGTATATGTTCAGTTAATTTGTGGAAAAAAAAAAAAAAAAAATTCGGTTCGGATGAATTGAAATCTTGCCAACGAATTTACATTGATCACATTATGTTTCAAAGTTATACGGAAAAAAGTAATTCAGGCATGTAGCTACAACCACTGATAAAAATGTAAAATTCTTCACCGATATAGCGATTTAGAGGTCATCTTTTTGATAATAGTGTTTAACCTACCCAATATATTAAGATCACTCTGACGCACCGTTGTTAGTCTGCTGCTTTTTCCTCTTTTTACCCGTTTTTTTTTTTTTTTTTTTGTCTCGGTTACCTCCTTTTATTTCTTCTTTCTTTTCCCTTCTCTGCTTCTTCCCCTCTTTCGAAGCAATCATCAGAGCTCAAAACAAACACTTGGAAATTAACAGATATCGCTTGCAAGCGCACGCGCGTGTCGTGATATCTGGCTCGCTCGGCTGTGTTTAATTATTTTTCTTTTCAACCAACTTTAGGAAAGCGCGCGGTCAAATGGGTGCAGTCTCAACCCTGATAATGAAACCCTTTTGAAAATGTAATTACTGGTGTTATTTGTCTCTGGGGGTCGTAGGGGCGGAGCGAAAGAGGGGGTGGGGCGCGGGAGGGCAAAGAGGACCGGCTAACCAAGTTAGAGCTTAACACCAATCTTCTCCGCAGCGGGGAGTTCTTTTACTACCCACTTTATGGACCGCGCGCCGTTTTATATGTTTCTGACGCCATATTGCGCACGACCCGCGGGTTCTGATCCACTGGTTTTGTATTGGTTCCAATTACAGCGAACGATTGTAGGAATTGTTTGCAAGTTGGCAAGAATAGACCCGTTAAATATATATAAAAAAGAAACAAAAAACAAACAAAAAAATCAGGTAAATATCAAAGGAAATTATGTTGTTCAGCTGAAGGATGGAAATCTAAATTATTTCTAAGTCTGTTCTTAAATAGGAAGTAGCAAGATTATCCGTGTTTACTTCAAAATCAGCTGCATCCGAGCAAAAGTTTACAGAATTGCCAATGTTAATTCTCACTAGCTAACTGAATCCTTCATAAGCATTCAAATTATCCTGCCCGTTCTCGAAGAAATTTCGTCAAAGATCCATGATTTGGAAAAATATGCAGTTTTTACAACTTTTTTACCATAAATGAACCTGAATTAGTGCAATTAGGGTCACCTTTCTTGGCACGAGAAAGAATAATAGAACTCAATTCAGACACCGAAACCAAATTCAGGGTTACGAACTCAATTCAGACACCGAAACCAAATTCAAGGTTACAACTCCATAAGAGTTGACCAAATGTAGCTTAACATTTCTTCGTACAGCAGTCCAAAGCCACCAATAATCAAAGTAAACAAGGTCAGTTCTGCTATTTCTTACCTGAGAAAAGTCTTTGCTTATGTTTTACATGTATTTCAACCACCTCTAAGCCACTTTTTTGCCATAAGCGATAGACGTAGCAGCTCACTTTTGCGAATGAAGTGTAAAATTTTGATCCCCTGCGGAGAGGAGGTGGATTCAGAAAAAACCACTTTTCTTGAGCTTTATCAAACCAAATTCAAGAATTTGTAGCGCGTTAGAGAGCTGACAGACGGCTTTTCAATGCTTTCTACAGATTTTTTTTACTTAACTTAGCTTAAGAGATGAACAAGTGAACTTCCTTTCTGGACGACCCTCGTATCAACAACTGCAAAAGACAGCATTAATGGGAAGCTGCAGAATCGGCCGCCGAATCATCAGCGATGACTACCACCACTACCTATAATGACTAAATCTTATAACCATTTTAAACCAAAGATGTTTGACGTTTTTTTTATTACATTTTCATATTTTCATTTTAGAATTGATGAGAGTCGTAAATTTTTAGCTTTGAAACAATTTTTTGAAATTGAAATGAAAATGGGAAACTTTTCACACTAAACTCTTCAAAACTGCAGGGCGACCAAGAGGATACGAGGATCTAGAAACTTCTGTGAGCACTACTGAGTGATAAGCCTAAATAGGTGGTGCATGGAAATATAAACAGGAGGACCCAATCGTCGGTTTAGTTCACTACACCCTCTGCCAGGGAGCGCTGATGTCAGAGGTAACCGGAGTTGGGGGTCCTTATTTATTCTCTTGGTCCATGATTTCGATTTATAATTTTTTGCCTGCTCCGGGGATTGAACCTGGGACCTCCCTAACACTGAACGAAGACCTTACCTATTAAGCTATGCCGGCCGCCTGAAAACTTTGACGAAAAACCTGCATTTAGCTTCGAATTAAAAGTGCACTGTACAGCCAGGGTATCTCAACCAGTTTTTATTGATCAACAAAACAACGTACGGACCAAGGTATAAGCTATGAAACCTTGTTCCCTGAATACCGGCGAGTTTTTTTGGAGTCTCATCAAAAAACAATTAAGTGGCCTTGACGTCACAAATTTATACTACTATTCTCGGAAAAAAACGGGCCCGAGTCAGTATTTTTCAGGTTGTATATGTTTATGTATTTTCTCCCAATATTTCGAGGCATAATAAATAAATTGTTTAAATATTTAAAGTAGTCCAAAGATCCGTAGTTTCTAGAGTAGGTAAGAGAATACAAAATATACGTGTGAGGGAGGAACGCTAGAATAACCAGAACAAGTATACAAGGAGAAAGAAAACCATTTACTATAACTTTTTTTACTGGTGTGTCCGCTCAAATCCAGAGGACATGCTATTTTCTAATTTGTACGTAAGTTAAGATGGCACTGTTCACTCCAGCAGCCACAGTGAGGGTCAAGTAGCTATACTAAATGTTTAAGTAATTTTTTTTCAAAAACAGTGCAACTTACCAAATTTTGAATAATTATAGAATTCAATGACATACTTATCAGCTATTTGTGTTTATTTTAAAATTGGACATCAAATGGGATCGAAATTAAATGAATTGCAAATTACTGGATGAGTATACTGTTGATAGCTGATGAAGCTTTTATAGGCGCAGAAAGCGTTTGCTGTTCATCTTCCACCGATGTAGGCAATGAATAATACATCTACTAAAGTTAAATTACTTAAAATGAATATTTTAGTTAAAATGACTATTTACACTTTTAGACCTAAATAAATCAGCACCTATTTAAATCAGCAATATTACAAGTAAGAAGTTACGACAATGAACACACATTTTTGGGAAAATCTCTGGTTGGCAATGAGAAACGAATATCTGTTTGCAAACTTTTTTCCTTTTTATACCTTCGAATTAAGTTTACTTTTTTTATTTTTTTCTTCTTTTTCCTTTATGATTTTAAATCGGCCTTTAGAAATGATTCCAGTTAAATGACGTCATGTATTTATCAGGTTACCGTTCCTCCATAACTTTTGGTCAAAAATATTTTGTTTTACCTTTTGTATGTATCAGACATTTTCAAGCCGCTAAAAAACCAAACTAAGGCCATCGCTCGATACTTGATACTTCACGGTAAACAAGATTAATTTTGGTTCGTTCCTTCTTAATAATACCTATCCGTCCTGCTGCAAATCCACGATTCGAACGTCACGTCACATCCGAAAAGCAAAATAATATTCTTTTAAAGAATTGCTGCTCTCTTTTTTCTAGTTGTAATGTTAATAAATCAGAATTCCTAGATATATTCAGTAATTTCTTGCCCTTAAATTATTCCTTGAAATCTGACACTCTCAAAATATCATGAGGAAAGTTTCATGGATATAAGCAACACCTACTTTTAGCCTATCTCGAAAAACAGCCTGAAGATTGATTGAATTCAAATTCGAACCGGTACTTTTTAAAAAGGGCGGAAACCCATTTTTCAAAATCGTTTTTTCTTGCATTTTTGAACTCTCGGTTGTCCTTACCGTACAGCGACAGTTCGCTCCTTTGAACGCGAGTGACAGTTGCACAGACACATCGATGTCTTGTAAAAAGAGCGTCAAAAACGCATAAAAAAATAAACCAGTTTGAAAAATCGGACTTCCGCCTTCTTTAAGAGATCCATATTCAAACTGCTATCAGTAAGGACATTTTGGGAATGAAGACGTAAGTATCTAGATTTGTAACTGACACGGCTCATTAAAAAAATGACTTTCAGCCATTTAAAATTGATCAGAAATAATGATTTCAATTTACCATTAGTATCGATGGATCGAAATCGGTTAAACACTAGAAGCAGTACAAACTTTTGAATTTTTTTAATAATTTTAGTGATATAGATTTTCTCGTATGATCATTTCTGAATGATTACTTTGGACTTGCATTTAAGTGTTTCAAAAAAAATATTCACCAAGGTTGCTGGAATCTACGAGATACTAGAGTATGGTTGAGCTCAGTGGAAGTGAAAGCTGAGGATTCAGCCTCACGTTACCTAAGTAGGAGAAACGAAAACAATACATTTCCACCAGTGGCGAGGCGCGAATGATCGATTATCGATATTTACCCATTTGAAGCTATGTTAAAGATTCGATTATCAAGGTGTTCGTTAAGAACAGCCTGTATATCGATCCTTTTTCATCGGCATCAATGGCAGATCGATCGATATATCGAAGCACACGTCACGCCACTGATTTTCACAATAAAGGCACTCATTTTTCGGCGAGGCCTTCTGAACATTACCGAATGAGCTCGATCGATAAATTGATTAAGAAATCGAAAGTCAATGTCTTAGCAATGGTTTTTATCGATCAAGGCAATGCGATAATGCTCCAAGAATCGACTCTCACTTTACTCTCTGTCCCAACGTTGAGATCAAAGCGGCGAAGCGCCTTCAACGGAGGCCGTATGCAACCCGGCGGTATAACGGTTCACTCGACTTTACGACTTGAAGTTGAGCTGATAGTGAGCTCGGCTCCGAGGCTCGGGCTACGGTCACGAGGGGGCGTCTCCGCTACTCCGCCATCAGTTATCAGCCGCGCTTATTCAGATGTCCGTTACCCGGATTTTCGAGTCTTTGCTCCTCTTGCCGGAGGAACAAAATAACAGCAGGGACGCCAGCATACACAGGAACTGAATTTAGACAAGAAAAGACATGAGGTTATTGAAAGGTAGACCTTCGCGTTTAACGAGGTACATTGAAGAATCGGTTTAGGGTCGTATTCACAGTCGTTCCTTACAGTAGCGAGCCGTGATTTGCGATAAATCGATTGATCTCCCATTTAAACTAATGAAAAAGGATCGAAAACAGTGTGTTCGCAACGATCACCTTAATATTCGATTCTTTACTATAGCTTCTAATGGGGAAATATCGATTATCGATCACCCACGCCTCGCCACTGGTATACCTTAAACAACTCCTCTCTTTAGGAGACCCCATATAGTATACAACATTATAGATATGAAAAGGACATAAATGATCTCTAGAAAAATTCAACTGCATAATTCAGGAGCTAAACTTTTGCCCCAAGTAGCATTTTTCAACGGTAAAATCGTGATATCATGAAACTGAGTTGTGATCATTTTACGATTTTTTGTTGATGAAATTGCTATGGATCGTCAACATCTGAGCAATTATCCTCGGTCTTGTTGTGTTGCAATTTTATCCGTGGGCGAAAATTTCAAATGCGGGAAATTCCATGTCCCTACACTTTTATTAGCATTTAAATGTATTCTACTCACATTTTTTGGGCTTCAATCTGAAGAAACCACTTTTTTCTAAAAAATAACTAAAAATTTGCCTAGTATTCATTTTTTCCTTTCTTTTTTTTTAATTTTTTACCTTTTGAATGGCGTCAAACTCACGACTGTCTCGCATCCCGATACTATGGTTCCTAACTTGCACTGTTACAACTTGAAGAGTAAAACGAAATTCGAGGACTTACACATCCTTAAATGTTTAAGAACGTTCCCTGGTGAAAATTGGCAATAGGATATGCGTTTCAAAATACCATAGGTATTCTTATAGTAGGCTACGGAAGACGACGAAAAATCAAATTGCTGGCTGTAGAAAGTGAAGAAAATCATACATCCGAGCAATAGTGATACAAAATTAAACAGCCTAGCTATAGTTCCTACCACCAGGCTATGCAGTATATCGCCTAGCTGTAGCCTTATCGCCATCGACTACAAAAGGATATCAGAAATTACACAGCCGGCCTTAGAAGCTACACGAAATCTTAGAGGTGGTTGTAGGTCTGTAAAGTATTTTGGAACACAGATCCTACTGCCAACTTTCACCAGGATTTCCTCATTGTAAAACAAAAAATAAAAATAAAGAAAAATCCGCAGTGTAATTCGTTCACAAGCCGATGAGTGCAGTCGAAAAATTTTACTCACGACCGTCACAGCTAGACTCTACTAGATAAATACTCTTATCAAAAAAATCGTGCAAGTAGCGCAAACGTAATCCGGTCGACGTCGGTGTTGTCTAAGGAAGCCCTGAAGCCCTGAAGTGGGAGGAAGTACCTATTAATCATTACCAGGTTGAAGTTGTTGGCGAATCGCAACATCATCAGTTGGCAGGTAATAATTCTGTTCACTTGGAAGCTAGCGACCGTCACGCTCGTTCTTTTTATTCTGAAATGTTTTTCATTTCAATCATGGATGTTATTTGTTAAAGGGTACGAACCAAGCTAGATATCTGGTGCTCATTTGTTAGTTTCCAAAGATGGTGACACGTGCTGCGTTTTTGTTTCGAAACTCAATTGGAAAATTGTTGGAAAACAAATTCCGAAAACATTGTAACCAAGTACGTTCTTAGATCCCAGAAATCGTCCAGAATTGCGAAAACACAATTTCCAGGGTAAATGATTAACTTGACTCTTAGACTTTTTTCACCCTGAAAATATGTCCCCTACCTATTTTAAATTTCCGCCCACCTATAAAATCGTGTTCGATAAAATCGAAATGTAATATCAATTTATGACGACCGCTTGCTCCATAATATTGAGATTAATCACCTACGATAAAATTCCAGTTTTAATGCAAATTTTTGCGATGAAATCGCAATTTACTGCGATTTTTAATCAACTACTTTTAATGAAATCGACGTCGATGAAATTGCGACACATTTTCCGATCAAATCGCAACTCATCGCGGTCTTTGCTACTTTCAGAAAGGGATTAAAGCGATTTGCCCCGGAAAAAAAAGTTAATAAAGAAATGTACAAAGAAATGTATTGCTGGTTTTTGAAATTTTAAAGTAGGTTTTTATGTACTTAAGTTCGTTGAAATCATAGGATTTGTTCTCCCTGTTTTCTTCATTTGTTGCAATGACTAATTGTAGTAATCTCGTGCAATGGTACATTTCCAAAATTTTACTGAAGAATTTCACTCAAGATTCCCTCAAAATTTTCCTTCTGATTATACCATGCTAAGTTCCTCCCGAGGCCTTTATTTTCAATCTAATGCCAAGGTTTCCTGCTGAAAATGTTACAGGGTAAAAAAACTCCAACCCCGCCACCTCTTCACTCCCTCTACTCTCTTCCGCTTACAAAAAAAAGAAAAAAAAAAAAAAAAAAAAAAAAAACCCTCAAATGCTGTCTACATTTTAGTCTGTCCTATTGGAATGAAAATAAAAGTCATTACGCAATAACAAAAAACCGAAGAGAGAAACAAATATTAATAAAACTAACGCCTCTTCACGTGCGTTGCCAACTGTAACAGCTTCACTTTCACTCTCCACCAGTTCGTGGGATTCGTTAGAAGTAACTCGTTCCTCACCTTTCGAGGGCCCACACAACGCTAGAGACGTCGAATGGATATCTTAGCTGACTAATTCCCACCCAGTTTCATTTAAAAGTCAACTCAATTAGGTGAATCTTGTCAAGTGAGTATCATTTCAGCAATACCATTGAAAAATTTTCTAATATTCCCAAAGTGGCCTCCAAGGCTATGACAGGAGTTATCATTTCTTTCGTGTGGCTAGTACATCTTATTTTGATACTCACGCATAGTTGTAAACATTGACCGCAGAGAGAGTTCGATTTTTATTATTTTTTCCCTTTCCCTCGTATACTTAAAATTCTACTTTTAAATAGATTCCACGATCACGCTAGGTACTGTTGTGTTTTCTCTTTAAGTACTTTAGAGTACGAAGTAGCCTTTACTATTTGCGGTTTAGACCCATTGCCGTCAATCTTCATAAAGGTTCCTCAGTCAGACTTTAGGGCCTGCATCTAGCCATTTAGAAACATTTTTGAGGCTGATTTTTTCTTAATCCCGGCCCATTTACGTTCTACGATCTTTCGGAGTCCAACTTCACGCTTTAACAGAGTCATTTCCGGGCTACGTCAAGAGAATCAATACGGGGACGAAAATTTAAAATAGGTAGGGGACATATTTTCAGGGTGAAAAAAGTCGAAAAGTCAAGTTCATCATTCACCATGGAAATGACGATTTCTGGGATCTAAGAACGTACTTGGTTACAATGTTTTCGGAATTTGTTTTCCAACAATTTTCCAATTCAAATTTCAGCTATTTATGACGGTCGTGAGTTTCGAAACAAAAACGCAGCACGTGCCACCATCTTTGGAAACTAACAAATGAGCACCAGATTCGGCAGATTTCGAGCAGCTTGGTTCGTACCCTTTAACAAATAACATCCATGATTGAAATGAAAAACATTTCAGAATAAAAAGAACGAGCGTGACGGTCGCTAGCTTCCAAGTGAACAGAATTATTACCCGCCAACTGATGATGTTGCGGTTCGCCAACAACTTCAACCTGGTAATGATTAATAGGTACTTCCTCCCACTTCAGGGCTTCCTTAGACAACACCGACGTCGACCGGATTACGTTTGCGCTACTTGCACGATTTTTTTGATAAGAGTATTTATCTAGTAGAGTCTAGCTGTGACGGTCGTGAGTAAAATTTTTCGACTGCACTCATCGGCTTGTGAACGAATTACACTGCGGATTTTTTTTTTTTTTATCTTACATTCATTTTTTTTAACAATGGAGAAACGTGTTTAAGTATTGTATTATGTGTAAGTTCTCGAATAATGTTTTACTTACTCTTTGAGTTATAACAGTACAAGCTTGGAATCATAGTGTCGGGATGCGGGACGGTCGTCAGTTTGACACCATTCTAAGGGTAAAAAATTACAAAAAAATAACCCTGAATATTGGGCAATTTTTTAATGTACATTTTTAGAAAAAAAACTGTTTTCTTCATATTTATTCCAAAACAATAGTAGTAGATCATTCTTATATGGTAATAAAAGACAAGAATGTTCCCTACCACAAATTTTCGCCCACGTGTATTCGATGGCTTTACATAGAAAAGAGAATGGGCTAGCTCTTTGAATGTTCATCGGTTTTCCGCGCTCTTTGAACGTGGCATTATTCAACGGTTATAAATGGAATGACGTTGTCACTGATTTTATCCAATTATAGCCGTGTTACCGAGGAGGATAGCGAGTGGAAAAATGAAGTTTTCAGAAAATGAACCTGGTAGCGTCTTGCAGATTTCATTCTATGAACTAGCAGACTCTCTTATCTTCGTGGAATTGTCAATAATCATTCAGTCCATCCAATTTTGTTGAATTATCATAAATCAACGAATTTTAGCTCCCACTTGATGAAAAAAAAAACATGTTCAATTTCATATTAGCAAGACAGCAGAACTTGTATTCTGCACGGTTGCACAGAGTCGCTTTGAACACATAATAAACAAGTTAGATATTGGTAGAAAATGGTATCATCTTACTCAAGACAGCATAAAGTGCAACCATATAGTGGATTAATGTATGGGCTGGGCTGGACTTACTTCAGTTTTTCTGAGACGACTTACACTTTTGTGGAATGAATGCTTTTTTACAACTTTCATATGTAAACGAATCAAACGCACTTTGCTGTTTTAGCATAATTATTTCTTTCACTGAAACTAAATTAAACTAATTCTGAGAGAAACTCAATTTCTACACTGAAAATACAATTTAAAAAAATTGGCAGGTCGTCCGTCCGGGCAGAAAGAACAAAAGTTCTGGGTGATGGAGCTGTAGTTTCAACTGCTTCAGGTTCAGGTGCCAATGAAACATAGGCGGATCTAGATACCTCGAGCGAAAGGGGGTGAAAGGGGGGTCCGAGGAGGCTCCCCCAGAAAAGTTTACGAATTTTGAAGCATCTAGTTCTAGTATGTTATTAAAGTCTATTTCGCCACGAATAATTACCAACAGTAAGCGTTTTTCCTTCTTCTTTCCTCTGTTCCTTCCATCTCTCTTTCTTCCCTCTTCTTTCCTCCTTTTTTCGTGCGGACGGGGGAGGGCACACCCCTCTTGCACCCCCCCCCTGGATCCGCCTGAGCGATGGAACGGGTGCGATACCCAGAACTTTCGGCCCCTGCCTCCAGAAGGGACGGTATGTTTCCTTAGTCCGTAAGTACGGATTTCACATTCAATGTTTTTTTTTTTTTTTTCTCTTCAGTGTAAAATTTTGGCGTCATTGCTCTTTTCGTGAAGACGAGAGTGGTGCAATAGTGTAATGAAAAGTCAGACTATACTTAATTGCAAGCTGGGAGCCTGATAGAGGTTTAGCTACCTGTGCTGAAGCTATGACGAGTCCGACAGTGCCGACGAGATGGAGCCTCTGCATGAGCCATATTTGAACCTGCTCCGAGCAACCAGTTTCGTGCCACATGTCGGGGTTCCCGCTCTGCCCGCAATTCTCTGCAATCATTCATTTTAAAGCCTCCATCAGGCAAGATCCAAGATCAACGCTATTCAACGCAGGGGATAGAGGGTGATTAATTGCGTCAACTTGGCCGCAATTTCATTCCTGGTCCTCACTGTGGAGCTCGCGACAGTCAAGAGTATTGAGCGAGAGTGTCAGAATGAACTGAGAAATCAAGTAAACTGCAAGCTGATTACTTAAAATAGACGTATTTCTATCAAACGGAACTATGTACATTAAGACATGAACCCTGAGACCCATAAGAATACATGCATAACATGACTCACGTCATAATGCAGATAGTTCCGTTTGACAGAAATACGTCCAAATGGGAAACAAAGCAGTAGACAAAGAGGATGAAGGGAAAAAGGAACGATCCTTTTGGTTGGAACCAGTGGCGGGCCCAGAGGGAGTNAGAGGGAGTCGGAGGGGGGGGGAGGGAATTTTCTTATATTGGTTGGGGGTCTGAGGGAATATTTCCCAGAAGGAGGATGGGATGGGAAGGTCGGAGAAGGGGACCCGGGACCACCCCGGAAAATTTTCCAATTTTTTGTAAAAATTACAAAAAACTGGCCCTCGCAGATTAAATTTTAAGCAGTTTTAGCACTCAATGTGTGCATTATTTGAAAGTTGAGAGTTCACGAATAATGCCTCTTTTAGCGTCATTATATTTTAGTACATGGACGAGGTAATTACCTCTGCGGTGATGAGTACCTAACCTTCGGTCCGGTCAATTTTAGTTAAATACTAGGGGGCTACGCCCCCTGGCCGCTACGCGGCCCAACCCCCTGAAGGCGCTCCGCGCCATCAATGGGCCGCTTCGCGGCCCTATTTTTACCCTCCTACCAGTGTTAGTTTTATTTTCCCCTAAAAAATCACGATATGAGATATACTTTAATTTTAAACTTTATACTTAAAATTACTTTAAAATTAAAAGGACGCGTTTTGGAATGACTGCTTGATGAAATATTGCAGTAAAACAATGAACAATGAAAGTCAGGTAAGAATCAAGATTTCATGAGTCGGGGATCGAACCCACGTCGAGGTCAAGAGGACGCATTCGCCGTCTAAGACGACTCGGCTACAGCTCGTCGTGAGATCGCTAGTGCGAATCTTGGGTAAATTAGTGTAGAGCTGATGCGCAGGCTACACAGCTACTGCGCAACCTCCTCGACCACTGCGCATCCTCCCGCGCATAGCGGTAGCAGTCTCGGAGCATTCTGAAAATTCACTCACTTTTATAACGTGATTGTAAAAAAACCTGGGTCCTTTTTCCAAAATCTGATTACAGCGGGCTCATCTAGGGCCTATTACCTGTCGATTTACGCAAAAATCATGGAAATCGGCCCGGTAGAACGCTCAAACGAACTATGACAAAAAGTATAAATTTACATTGTTTAAATGGGAGAATTCGCAACTTTACCACTTAATATAAGAAAACCTGGGCCATATTTTGAAAATCTAAAAAGAGTTGGCTTATCTAGAGACAATTGCCCGTCGATAGCCGCAAAAATCATGAAAATCGGCCCGGTAGAACGCTGGAACTAAGCGTCACCAGTTTCACAAAATTAGGAGGTCTTGGAGCTTATAGTATAGATTGTTCCACCTTGATACCATTCCGGTAAATTAAGAGCACTTTTTTTCCTCTCCCTTTTTTTTCTCTCCCCCTTTTTTCCTTCTCTCTTTTTCTTTTCTTTTTTAGGCCGAGATGGGGGGGAGGGTCTACTGTGGCCCCTCTCCTGGCTCCGCAACTGGTTGAAAGAGGTGGTTGTTATGTACTGAGGGGGCAAGGATGGATTAACCGCAGGGCCTCTCGTGGGTTGCCGTTAGCTAGTCAGTTACTTAAACTTTCTTTGTAATTGGCAACCACCCGACCACTCGCTTCCTACAATAGGGTTGCTCTTCTTTCTCTTTGTCTTCTTTAGGTCTATTAATTTCAATAATCAACCTGTTTACTTTTGCGATATTTATGGCTTGATCAGAATAATATGTTTCTCTGAAAGTCACGTATCAAGCTATCAGTTGTTAACCCCGCTCATGCTTATTTTTTAAAAGAAGGATGTTGACCAATTTGTCTTTTTTTTTTTCAATATTTTTTTACTCGTTCAAAAGTATTCTGGTTCTTTATTATTCTATTTTCTTTTTTCTGGGTGGTTCTCTGACCCTCTGGAGAACGATTCGATAGTCAAATCGATTTTGTTTTGTGTGTAGAGTGAAAGGTCAGTTAAGTTTGTTAAAGCCATTATAATATGTATAAATGAATAAGATTTAACTTTTCGCATACCATTGTTGATTTTTCAAAGCCTGAATATTGTATTTGAAAACACATTTCATGACTAATAATAGAGTTACTTTTACATAATTCAAAACAATTAAAATGTTGGACCGGTAGATCTATTCTAAAAGGTAACATCCTAAAACCTCTCCTGTACATGAGAAAGTTTCGCATGCGCCATAGCATTGTTTCAGTAGCAAAAACTGCACTTGACTCTTTGACTGGACCATGACCGAATATTTTCTTCAAATAGCTGTCAAACTGAAATTATTCGGTCTGTATTGGTGTTCAAGCTTAGAAAATCCACCTTCTCTCTCCCGCCATTTCATACATTTACTGCGAGAGCTTTCCATTATCCATATATATCATTGGATAAATAATATTGGCAGTACCTATGTTGGAATTTTTTGTCAACGTGCGTTAAAAATTCAGCACAAAGCTGAAAATTTCAATACAGTTTGTGTAAATAATATTGAGTATAGAAGTGCAAAAATCAAATTTGCGTATTATTACGGGGAGTGAAAATGTGGCAACCTGTGAACGACAATTTTATAATATTAACCATAAGGAAAAAGCTTGTGCTTTCTATTATGTCAAAGGGAGCGACACCCGTCACATGCTCCAAGTTTCGCGAGTCTGCCAGGCGCGCTGATCGTGCTCTGCGGTAATTGCATTTAAATTATGACACTTGACTTGAAATTTCACTCATATTTACCAGCAAAGTGCACGTGACAATATTCGCAGATATGGATCCAATGTCCACGAGGTTTTTATCCAGTAAAGGTGAATCTCCAGCGTTAGTCCCGGCGAAATAACCACCATTTTAAGCAGCTAAATTTTATTTTGAGGAAATCGCTCTCTATATATCACGGCAATTGACGTCATGGGCGCTGGTGGTGCATAATATGCATATGCGCGATTGCAGTGGGGCATGCAGGTCAAATTAACCCTCATGTGGTTCAGCTGAATGTTTAGGTACATGATTAAATCAACCGGTTTTCTGGTAAAACTTAGAGTCCCTTTATACTGTGAGTTAAGGCAATGTGAATCCATTCCTGATTGTTTACCATATTTTAGGCCTCCACAGTGTCACAAACAGGAATACTTAAAGACTACATTTTCACGAATTGCAAACATTATGATCTGGAATGAAACGAGGAATTACGGGTTCGACAAGGAACAGACGAAATGAGAGAAGGAACGGAGAAAGAAATTCGAGAATGAGCCGATCGAAGATTACGAAAAACGTTCAATTTGTGTAATCTTTATTCCCGTTTGTGACTCCATGAGGGGGAGTTATCTTAACTATCAGTACCTATAAAGGGACTCTAGTAAAGCTGTAAAATTTTAAGTTATCAACGTAAATCGGAAATAACGGGATATTTCGCCATATTTTGGAGGATTTAACTAATTAGCCTAACATCCGACGTTGCCCATTTTTTTTAAAAAAAAAATCCTTTTTTTTTAAACCATAAAACTGAACAACATTTTGATTTGAAATGATTTAAGTATATTTTTCATAATTTGAGTAAATTCAGAGATATTATGTACGAGGGTCATCCAAAAAGTAAGTTTCCCTACCTTGTATCTTCCAAACGAAAAGAGATTAATCAAATCGGTAAAAAGGCACATATTAGGCATACTCTAAGCTTTAAAACAAGCTCAAGTTTTTGAAAATCGGTCAAGGAGTTCGCGAGTAAACTTAATTTTACTGAGACAACCTCCTGTCGCCGCGTGCCCACCTCCGGGATCAGGATGCGCGGAGAGTCGATTATAGAAGACTCGGGTTATCGCCTCTATACATCACATCAACAAGAAATGTTAAAGTTTTCATTGAGTAACTACCTTACTAGTAGTTAGTAGTAGTTACCTTACTTTTTGACGTAGTCTCCACATCTTCTTTGACATTTTTGGTATCATTACACAGCAGCTTCTTGACGCCCTCCGCGTAGAAGATCTCGTCTTGGCTCCGAAACTAGTCATTGACAGCGATCTGCACTCCCAAATCAGTTGCTTTCCGTCGGGAAATTTTCCCCCAATCCTCCAAACTTTCGTACTTTAGCTTCATGTGACTTTCATTTGTTCCCGAGCGGAAAAACTTCCACGATGGAAGCGATTTTCAACCGATTCAGAGGTACACATCGCTGTCAATGACTGGTCTCAGAGTCAAGGCGAAAGCTTCTACGCGGAAGGCATAAAGGAGCTGCTGTAATGATACCAAAAATGTCAAAGAAGATGTGGAGACTATGTCAAAGAGAAAGGTAAGGCCTACTCAATGAAAACATTAAAATTTCTTGTTGATGTGATGTGTAGAGACGATAACCCGAGTCTTCCATAATCGACTCTCCGCGCATCCTGACCCTGGAGGTGGGCACGCGGCGACAGGAGGTTGTCTCAGTAAAATTAAGTTTACTCGCGAACCCTTTGACCGATTTTCAAAAACTTGAGCTTGTTTTAAAGCTTAGAGTATGCCTTATATGTGCCTCTTTACCGATTTGATTTATCTCTTTTTGTTCGGAAGATACAAGGTAGGGAAACTTACTTTTTGGATGACCCTCGTAAGTCGTTATGTTGTTTGAGTCTCCGAAAAAATGAAACACGAGAGGAGGTTAGGCAACGTTAAGTACAGGTAGACTGAATCTTCTTAGCCTCTTTTGGTTGTCACCAAACTTACTAAGGATATATTTGTCTATCATTCTTCACTAGGTATGTGTATTCAGCCGGTGACTTTTGGTTCATCCAAATACATTGCCCGGATGATTAATATAGTTAAGGTGTCTAAATACTTCTGGTTCTAGCATCTATTCCGAAAGAGTAGCAGTAGCGAGGCGATTATTATCGGCATTTCCTCATTCGACGGTATGGTAAAGAAGCCTGAGGAGTTCGTTGCGGACATCCTGTTAATCGATTTTTACTTTCTCGCTCCTCTAGGGTAGAGGAAGTATTGTCATCCTGCGAGGGGGGAAAAAAAGATGAAATTCCATCATTTCTAGACGTTTTAAGGTCCCAGGAGTCAAAATAACCATACTTGAAAAATGTGTGTCCGTCCGTCCGGCGTCCCTCAGAATCCCTCAGCAATATCTCAGAATCTATCTGTTCGATTTCATTCAAAATTTGCACCGAACACCATATCTATGGTCTCCTTATGCACGTCAAACGATTTTGGGGTACGCCAAAATTTGGGGGGGGGGGCTAGGGTCCGAGGTCATTTTTTAGCAAAATCACATACGGAAAGCTAATTTTAAAGGACTGTAAATTTTGAAAAATGCCCTTAATTCTTTAACAGTGGGCATCAAGCACACCACCTGGGTCATTAATTTAAGTTCCTAAAAGATCTTTGGACTAAACTCAAAATTCAATGGATTACGAGGCCCAAAAGTAGGGAACTTTGCTCCGCAACATCACACAAACAGATTATTTTCAAGGACTGTAAATTTTAAAAAAAATGCCTTTAATTCTTCGAAAGTTGCCATAAGAGAACCACTTGGGTCATTAATTTAAGTTCCTAAGAGATCTCTGGACTAAACTAAAAATTGAAGGGTTATGCGTCAAATAGCGAGGAGAGCACTTTGATCACACGAAGAGCTCACTTTGACGGACTGGAGATTTTGAAAATATGCCTTTCATTCTTTGAAAGTTGGCAAAAAATCACCACCTGAGTCATTAATTTTAGTTCTTAAAGGATCTTTGGACTAATCTCATAATTGCAGAGCTCAATGCTCAATGAGTCGGAACGCCCCTGAATATTAGCAGCAAATGCTTTGAGTCAGGTGATACCTTGTATAATGGTGCATTGTATAATGCATCATATACTATCTCCAAAATTACTCCGGAGGTATACACCAAGAAAAATAGATACTTACATACTGTGTATCATCGAAGCTAACACTAGAACTGACGATCAGATCTTTATTAGGAACTGATATGTTTGTTGTTGATGAACTTAGAATCCCGGCAGATTCCATCATTCGTGGTTCCTTTTTACGCGGTACTGAATACAAATGTAATAATAATACTGCACGAACATGATTGATTTAATGATTAATGATTACACAAAAGCGAATTCGTTTACATTTCACCAACGCATTTCAGGGGAAAACTTGTTCCAATTTGTTCTTCTTGATGTTCATCATAGAGAAAAAAAAAGGAGGTGTTTGCATTTCGGGCATCTTGGAATTTTTTGATGACGTAGGTCGGTGCAGCGACGTTTATCATCGAATTTCTTGGAAATGGTGTTTATGGAAAAAAGTATTTCTATAAAAAGTGCTTGACATTATATAAGGAATTGATTTAAGCAAAATAATGGGACATTATGGTCCGTTTTTCATACTTCGAATTCCGGATTTCGCTGGCCAGGTAGTACCGACCTACGTCATAGGGTAAACAAAGCTCAACATGCAAACACCTCCTTTTTGGCGCGTATACGTAGTATACCGCCTTTGCGATCGTTTCGACCCCCCCCTCGATACAATAACCGAGTCCCCTAGTTCCTTACCGAAAAGTGACTACCGCGAACTTCTGAGATTTTCCAAAGCGTGTAAAAAGTTTACTAATCCGTCAATAATAATGATTAAAATTTGTTTCTCATTCTGGGGCTCGCTAGTTTATGTGTAATGAATACCAAGAGTCTACG